TCATATCACGGATTTTAGTCTATCAAGCAAAGTATGTCAAAGCTCAAACAATAATATGATACGCAATACGGATGACATAGTCAAATACCAAGTTATTAACCAACTATGTGCGAAGGGAAACATTGGTGGCCTCCACTCTAAATCTGTTAATTGTCCAGACACCTCAAATTCTTACTTGAATGGATCTTGTCGACCAAGGTGCTCGTGCAGTTTGTCCTCTGTGTTCAGGTAAATGTAAAAGAGCTCATCGCGCTCTCCAGGTCCGAGGTCCCAGATGTTTCTGGTCCGTCGAGTCACATGCATCCGTGGTTTTGAGTAAGGATGAGGATGCTCACCGGTTCCGAATTGTTCAATGACCGGACTGCAGGGGAAGGTGTACTTTTTGGCGCCGATTTCCAGTGCCCTCCAAGCTTCCTTGCTGCATTTGCCACATTTTACAAAGACCCATTCCATCAATGGATTGCCGACTACTTTTGCGAGTGAATCAAGTTGCCTGAGTACACGCAGTGAAACGTTGGGTGCGAGCGCCGTCAGCGAGTACGCATCAGGCGCATCTGAGGCTGAGAATGGCACAGTTCGTCCTGCCAACGTCTTGGATGGTGCTCCAGGCAGTTGGTGAACCTTCAAAAGGCGGTGTTTCATGGCGTTTTCACTGTAGGATTTCCACAAACCACCAGAACTCGGTGCTGTACGTGCTTCATTCACCCTCGTCAATATTTCTGCGAACGGGTACAGTCTCACCAGCGTCTGAAACTCTGCGGAAAGCCCTTGGAACTGCGCACTTTCTTGGGGAAATACCTGATCCGCATTGAGTACACCAACTCCTGCCATGGCAGGCTCACTGAGAAGTTGAGGCAATATCTCCGTTTGAGACGCTCCAATCATGAGCAAAACGTACGTAATTGTACGGGGTGTCCTTGTACGAACGTTCCTCTCCAAGTCCGCACAGGTGCATTCCATGGTCCACATTGATTTGCGGCGTGGAAAAGTGGTATCGCGTTCGGCATCCATCAATGGCACGGACGTACACACGGAATACACGGTCCTGTTTTGGTCTGACCAAATAGTCCGGGTCGATGATGGTGTTGAGTGATGTGACGAGAAACGCAGCATACTTCTGAGAAGCACGGCTGGAGGGTGTTCCAGCCAGGGCACTATTGCTACGTCGTTCTTGAGTGGGATTAACGGCGTGGCCAATGGCATTCGCGCTCCAGATATCGGTTTTTCCTTCTTCCAATCCCCGAGCCCAAGAGATCCAATCTGAGTCACCTGGAGCCATCCCTCGAGGACAAGGAAACGATGGAGGAACCACAATTGATCCATCACCGATTGCAATGGAATCAATCGTCTCCAGAAAAACCCGTAGCTGAGGATCTCGGTCCCCAGAGAAAAGCGCTCCGTACGCAGTCCATGGCAAGCTTCCATCTGCAGTCCTGACAAACGGGGTGGTAGGGCATGCCAGCGAGTCCAGAAGTGACTCGAGACAAGCAACAGATTGTTTCTTCACGCTCGCGGAGTTGTTTCGGTTGGAATTGCTGGTTGGTGTGAGAACTTGTGCATCAGAGACAAGGGATGATGTCGATTCCGATCGAGTCACGGATATCATGGCGGACTGGGATTCATCAGCGGCTGGGAGCTCTTCATTTGCGAACGAGAATGGTTGTGAATGGGTGATGGGATTTCGATGTGCACTCCAAGTTTTGTATGATGACATACCAGGCAGGTCAGAACTCCCCGTCTCGTGTTCCACGACGACAAACAAACGTTTTCCCGGTCAGTTCCATCAAGTTCTTGTGAAGTTTGAGGCTTCTGACGCCCCTTGTACTTTGGCGTACCGAGTGTAGAGCTCTCTTCAACTGCCTTCACATCGAGGTACTCGTCGTCGAGGAGTCCATTCAAGAACACAACCACTGGCCCTATCCCATTCGCAGTAATGTGAATAGGCTGTAGCACCTTCAGCTGCTGCCGGAGAAAGCTTAATGGGGCGTAAAACAGATCCCGGTCCAACGTCGGGAGGAGGTCCAAGAATGGACCAAACACTCTGGTCATGACAAAGGAGCTGGAGGCCTGAACAGGCTGCCGTAGGACGCTGTCAAACACACGCAGTGAAATCTCCCTGGCCGTTAAGGGTCCCCTTCCGGCAAATTGATGCCAAAAAGGTATGTGGGAGTAGAATCCCGTTCGGGTAATATCCTTAAAGTGATTGACAGTGGACACAATGCCTCCGACAGGATGAAGAGGACCGGTGAGTTGTGTCACCGCCATCTGTATCGTGGTTTGGACTGATGCATACTCCGTGGAATCTTCTATCCTGATTTCGTCCTTTTCATCCGGATCAGTCAAGTTCAACTCTGTCTGATGAAGACGGAACGTGGGAGCAAAACCTCTGGCCGTGTGGTAATAAATGTCACGGATCTTGTCGGCATATGATCTGGCGGCGTCAATATCGACTGGGTTCCACTCTGTTGAGGGTCAAGAGATGGAGTATCAAAACCCGTCAGCCTGTTTCACTTCACCGTGCTTACAAAACATTCCTTGCTCATTTTTCTCTCAGCTTACCGTCGCCAGGCATCTCTTTGAGATCTGTCATCCACGGCACAATCGTTGCAGCTGCGCACTGATCGATGAGCGCAGCTACTCGGTCGTCCAGTTTAATGCGGCTGGTGAATCCACCGTACGCCGAATTCAGAGCACACGGTTGTACCACAAGTATGAGAGTGTCTTCGAGTGCACCCACAAAGTGGAGCAGGAGCTCTGGTTCGTCACCGACGCAGCAAGGGATCTCGATAACCACAAGTGTTCGGACTTCGAGGAGGCCCAAAACTCGATCACACTCTGAGGTGGGTGATATTGCTGATGTGTCGTTCTCGGTGTCGTCCTCCTCATCACTGTTCTCCTCCTCGTCTCTCTCTTCTTCCAATGGACGAGTTGGTACACTCGCATTTTCCTCGCCACCTAATTTGGCTGTTCTCACTTGCTCAACTACTCTTAGAAAGTTGATGATTCTTGTCGCTGTTCGGTTTTTCCAGTCTGCAGCCATTCGTTGGACGCCGTTTGTCACCCGTGATACGCCTGCATAGCGGAGTTTGAATGACATTGAAGAGTGAGTGGTGTCTCCTGTTTGAGGTTGTGTCCTTGCGATAAACTCTTCACACTCTGATTTGACGGCAGCAGCCCACGGCAAATCTGCCGGTCTTTCGCACATGTACAGCTCGAGGATTTCAAGAGCCTCTTCGGGGTCAAGGGCAAGTTCTCTGATGTAAAGGGAGAAGTATTTCCACATTCTGATAGAAAAATTGAATGCGTTCACCAGTAAGCTGAGATTTGGTTCGCGTGAACTTCATGATGTCTGACTCGCACTCGCAGTATTGTTCACCTCAAATTCCCACTCACCCGTCACGACCCTCAAACTCCCCACGACCATGATCGATGGATGCATTGTACCATTCAGCCAGATCATCAGGAATGAGAACAGGCGTCGGTCGATCAGTCAGATCGTGCGCCAAGTCACCAGAGAAAAACGGCTTCAAGGTGAGTTCTCTGGTGGAGAGCTTGAATTCGGGACGCAGCTGAAGAACGATGCGAGGGATATGTGAAAGAGGTGAGCATACTCTATCTCGGAGCACCAGGTTGGACAGGAAAACTCTCGCGACAGAGGGTGGAAACACAAAAGTGACAAGCCTGGGTGGGATAGATAGGGACCGTCCGTCTCTGAGATATTGTACTCGGTGATCCAGCACAGCCTGGAGCAGCGTTGTTTCAGATGTTGGTGAGTCGAGGTCCTGTGATCCTCCAAGAGTTTGGTATTGACGTGCGATCTCGCTGACAAACGCTTTATCCCGGGTAAACTTTGCTCGCTCTATTGTCACGTACTCTTCAAGTGCTGTGATTCCTCGGCGGACCTTTTTGGAGCGTGCTTTGACGTATCTCGCCCTCCTTGATGACGATGACTTCCGTTGCTCTGCCCGATCCTGCCTATCTGCGAACAAATCCTTGAGCCAATCCATTTCCATATCCAGTTATGGAGGCTTGTAAGTGTGTCGTGTCTTGTTGTTGCAAAGGTGAGTGGGAAGTCTGTCGAGGCAGAGGTTGCGGCTCCCAGGCGGGTGTGAAGGTGAATGGCGTGGGATCTAGGTCGACAAGTCTTGAATGGAATCAGAGAGCCGCGGACACACAGTGGCGAGAACGCAGAATTGGAGTCGGATTTGGCCCGAAAGGTGAGTGGAGGGATTGGAGGATGGTAATCGAGATGCGGGGCGGGGGTGATTGGCGGAACTTATGGGAGGGAGAATGGATAGCAAATCTAGCGATTCTAAGTGATGTAATAGAGTAAAGTAAAAGATTTGAGAAGTGTTTGGAAAGGAATCGCAGTCAAATCTATCACTTTGCGGGGTGTTTGAGATTATCAATTCGCACCTGATTTCCGCCTGTTCCAACAGCTCCAGTAGCACGAGACCACCCAAAAACCTCTTTATAACAGGAATAGCGACGGAACAATGACGCGATAGTGGGTCTCAGCGTCTGAATCAAACAGTTCGGCACGGGCTTCCGAGAAGCGTACTCCAAGGCAGAAGCCGCAAGAGAAGGGAGCAGACCAAGGGCGGAGAAGGTCAAGCTCAAAGGTTTCTTGAATTCCAAGATAGAGTCAGAGGAAAACAAGCGTGACTCGCAGGTGAATGCGAATATGAATGGGGTGGGTGCGAATTCTGAATGCGAAGACGTGCCCCCTGCCGAGAAACGCCGCCAGATCATAACCTCCCCCGTCCATCATAAACACTTCATGTGGCAAGAACTGCTTGACGAAGCTGCAAAAACGCTGGTTCCCCTCAATTTATTACACATTTTCATCTGGTTGAACTAGAAACAGTGCTCGCCATTCGAGGGGTCACAATGCAATATAAATTTAAGTAAAAACATCATATACTAGTAAGTAAGCAAATTTGCAAGCAAAAAAGTTACATTGATATACTAGTTACGTAACATAATGTCAACAAAAAAAACGGTCCTTGGCTCAGTTGGTCAGAGCGCGTGCTTCACACGCACGAGGTCGTGAGTTCGAGCCTCACAGGACTCAAATCTTTTTGGATCCTTATTTTTCGGGAGGTCAGTCCGCGCTTCACTTGCACGAGGTCGTGAGTTCAATACTCACAGAAAACATTATTTTGCCGTTGTTTTCCGGTCCGGAGGCACTGTTGGTCAGAGCGTGATCTTCGCTCGCACGACGTCCTGAGTTCAAGTGTACACAGAAATCTAGTCTTGGATCCCTTCGTGGTGGAAAGCATAGGCAGGCTGACAATCGGCCACCTTGCGGAACTTTGAGCTCCTCTCTGCTTCTCTCAAAGCTTTCCTTCTTTTATTTTCCTTTGTGTCTTGCCGGATATCCGTTCCTTTGCAACGGAGCGAGCGCTGTTGTAATTAATTGTCTATGTACAATATACTTTGTCTGGCGGGTATCTAATATTAGAGTGTATTTATGAAAGAGTATGGTCCCATTGCCGCAGAAATTGGCGCGTACTCGGACCCATCAAAAAGCCAACCAAACCATTTCCAAGAAACTGTGCTTTCCTGCTTCTATCCTGCAGGTAGCTTCTTCGTCAAGTCTCCACAAGAAAATCAATTAATCGTTTTCTGAGTGTTAACCGCAGGGGCCTCAAGGCCACACATCGCCCCACCACCAACTGCACCGTGTGCGCACCGTTTTTTTATTCTCCAACGCCCCACCACCTCAGCACTTCCTCCCGAACACCTCTATGCGATCTCCATCCCACCACGGTCCCTACCACGGCACCCTTCAGTGGGTTTGGGACCGTGGTTCGATTGACGGGATACGCGATTTCTCCTGACCCCGAGGGATGTCGAATCAGTGGTGGGTGAAAGTGCGAGAGTAGGACAGGGTGAGAGTATTGAAAGGGAAGGTGAGGGGTGATTGGGTATGAAAAGGGAATCGGAAGAGGGATGGATTGAGAGACGTTGGTGGGGAGAAAGTGGGAGAGGAGGATTGTATGGAGAGCGGTGGCTGGGTAGGAATTATATGTAGAAATGCAAAGTGCATCAAACTATGGAACACGTGGTAGAGACGGACAGGCGCTGCGCAAACGAGGGGAGCACCTTAACCGCACTGCCGGATAGACAGTCCATCCCAACATTACTGGTCCCAGTTGGCTCAATATCGACGCTACTATCACAACCGCGTGGTACTGTATCTTGCCGGCCAGTCGAACCTCTTGGAGCCTTCCGGTACGAAGCTGACTTCAGGGCCACCACTCTCAGCAACGACAACTCCCAGGTGCCATTTCGCCATCGACGCCCACGCCATCATGTTAATCGCGAATCATTCCTCCCATAGAGCTTACCTTCTCCGGCCATTGACCGACACTCGTAGCCACCGTCCTCATTCTTCCGGAACTGGGCCGCTTTACCGCCTGCCATTGCGGCTCTCATCCACCCGAGGTAAGCGCGCACACCACTCCAAGTGCCAAGAATGACAGACGGTGGAGAGAGTGGGTAGGTGAGGAGAGAGGCAGCGGCCGTTGCATTTGGGTGGCAGGTAAGGAGGGCGCTGTTTGCCACCGACGTGTGCACAACGTCAATTGTTGATGGGAACGCCCGTGCTCGGAAACCAAAGCATTCACTCCCGTCGACCATGGTTTCATAAAAACTCGAGAACAGGGCTTGATGCAGCTCCGCACCCCCAGAACCTCTTCCCATGTTCATTGCAAACCCACCTTTTCGCCTCCGGGTCATCTCTGACGAGTGCATCACCCTCCCTTCCAAATACTACGACATCTTTGCCCAACTCCTGCATGCGCCTGACCCACTCAACCAAGGGGTGGTCGAAAGGGTCCCGTTGAAACACCGTGTCCGCCGCGTCAGAGATGAGGACCAGACCAGGGTAGAGAGAAGACGTGGAAGAGTGCGGAATAGATTGCGGCGGGAGCTGGCCGCGGAGGACGACGACTCCAGATTCATCCAACTCCATCTCGCTGATGCTATCCATCCAGTCGCCGATGGCTCGCGCACTGAAAGAGTTGCTGTGCCAGCCTCTAGGTGTGTAGGTATGAATTCTATGTGTGACTCGCGAGTCGGCAGCGAGTCTATCCATGTCGTGGTTCAAGGAATGAGATTCCGTAAAGAGTGCCGAATGGCACCTGGGGCAGGCGAAAACGAGGGAGTGCAGGAATGGCGCGAGGAGGCTCGCATTTGCGTGAGGGTGATATGCGATAACGAGGTCGGGAGAATGGGGCTGAAGCGGCGTTGGAGGCGTGTCATCCGTCACCATTGGAGCTTCCGATGTGGTGTTCGCAGGGTCAGACTGAAGGAGTCCCGAATCCTGATGTAGGGAGGATCCCGCATTTCAAATAGAAAAACGCATTTTTTCCCCATCGATGTTCGTTTTGCATGAGCGAGGTCAATTCGATTCGGTATGTCGAGATGTCGTCGCCTTCACAAAGTTTCTCTCACCTGGCCTCCAACGGGCCACACCCGCGTCGAAGAAAATCCAGCAGCCAGCGCGAGCACAGCGACCACCGCGATCATGAAATAGTCCTTATTACCGGAATTGGCCCTAGCGTCTCCAAACCCTTCTCCACCATCACCAGGGCCGGGACCAGTACCCATGTTCTGCGATCCTTTGGATACCAATCGATCCGCTCACACCAGTGTGCTTTTGTTCTAGGTTTGAGATTCTAGGAGTTCCAGGTTATCAGAGATTTTGTGCTTCTATAGCAGTGCCTGCATATTGCATGTGCCAGGTCATGAGGGTACCACTCAGAGCCAGCTGATTAGAAATAGCGACGCACTAAAACGCATCCACCTAGGATCTTCCCTCCACAAATTCAGAGACATGAGCATTATCCATTACAGATCACCCACAACACATCACGTCAAATGGAGAGTGTGAATCCAAATGACTCGGTTCTCTTTGCACACTTGCCAGACTACCGAACCGGACTCATCAGAATGAAAAGCAATGAAGCACTCCCTCCCACTTCACAAAACGATGCATCGTGAACACCTGGCTTTTATCTCAAAGAGATTTTTTGACATTGGCGCCATCGTCATGATATTCACTTAATGTCAGCGAAAGCCGTTGCTTGACCGCCGCTCTGGACAAACAATGCTCGCGCGACCCATCATGAGTTGACCATACTGCATCCACCTGTTCATTTGGCAAGACAGCTTCACCAACTGAAGACGAGCGGTTGTTTCTAGGAATGAACGATATCACTCTTTATCCTCACCTTCCTCGCCCTCCTACACCACACTTGCGTGTTTTATCGAAGGTCGATCCCATTGCGATTACAACCACACTCTCTGTATTCCGATTTGCACAGTGTGATTTAGTTCTCATTCAATGTCTGCGTTATCTATTCTTCTGTCGATCACACTGTTTCTCTACTCTGCTTGTGAACCGATGGTCGATTGATGTAGACCGGAAGCGGTTGGAAATTGACTGCATGGCTGCTGGATGACGGAGGGACCAGCTTCGGCGGAAGCAATAATGCGTTGGTGACGACTTGTCCTCGGGTTTCCCATACTGTCTTTCTCATTTGTGGCTGTTTTCTGATCATTCCCTCTATCCACCTTCAGCCCAAACAATGCTAGCATTGACTGCAACAACCGTGGATCCATGTATGTGATGATCAATGGATCAACAACAGTATTGAGGTATGCTAAAAGCTGTGCAGCTCCGGACAATATTGGCGGACGGACTCTCAATCCGGTGAACATCTCGAAGCAAGAAGTCAACACGTATGGTGTCCAGAAAACCATGTATGCTACTGTAAGTGTGACACAACGAAGCACAAGCTCGATTTCCTTCTCATCTACTGGTAGAAGAGAGGTGCCTCTCGTATTGGTCATGGAGACCCGATCATTCATGTTGAAGCCCCGAAACGATGGCTCCGTGACACACCGAGACTCGGACAGAACTGCGAATACTTTGCGTGCTATAGCAACGTGACATCCAACTGTCACACCAAATGAAGCTATAGCGATCGCCGAAGAGATCACTCCTTGGTAAATGATAAAGACAGGATCTCGAGAGACGAACTCTGTGTAGCATTCCTAGCGCGTTTCCGATTAGCCAGCAGTGCATTAATCTCAATGAAAATGTGCGGTGCGATATGCCAGATTTCTTACAATGGGGAATGTCGTTGGATGGTTGTGATTACGGGTGAACGAGAAGTAATGCCCGACAAGCAGGTAAATCCATAACAGGCCAAGAGCGACAGGATACTTGAGAAATCCATGTCTCCGAGTTGCCCCACGACAAACCACCGAATATCTCTCGTATGCTAAGAGTATAGAGTGGGGGCAAAAGATTAATTGTGTGTTCTGCATGTACGACATGCACCCGAATGATGTAGTCTCACCCAAAAGCGACATAACAAAGAATACGTGAAGCTTTGGAGCGCTCCCCAGAAGACTAGCAAAATTGCATAGTTCCGTCGCTGGATGCTCGTTTTGAAGGGTAATGATTGCGTTCATGATTCCTGCTCCACTGACGAATATATCACCGACAAAAATATTCAAGAAAAGGAATTCCAAATTGGTAGAAATCCTCTACATTTTGGAAAAGATCCAGACAAGCTCACGTAAACCACAGCGGCGCTGCTCTCTCCTACCTTTACTCGGACGAAGTTGAACGTGAGCAATGAAACAAGAAGGATACTGAAGGAGCTCCATGCTAAGAGAGTAACGCGGAAAGCAAGGAGAACGGAGGGATCAATGATTTCTCGAGTTGCATCAGACCCGGTGTTGTCATTCATTTCTCGTCAAACAGTGTCTGAGAAGCACCCAATAGATCAAATTCGATCGGATGTTGAGTGTTGTGCCTTGTTTGCCTGTTGTTGTTGATTCTTCGCATGAGTGTCCCCGAGCATTCTCATCTTCGCCCCGCTGATCAGCAATTTACAGATATACACAATACACTTCAAGGCAGGACGAACTTTGTCAATTCTCCACCTGAATGAGTGGGGTATGGAAAGAGACAAAAATAATTAGAAATTGCCCATTCCAACTGGCTCCCTGCAGTTCCTGTGGCCTCCCTCCTAGTTTCTCTTTCACACATAA